AGAGAGAGAGAGAGAGAGAGAGAGAGAGAGAGAGAGAGAGAGAGAGAGAGAAAGAGAAAGAGAGAGAGAGAGAGAGAGATGAAAGAGTGAGAGATGGTATGAGAAGGAAGGGAAGTATTCTGTTCAGACCCTAGCAGAATTCAAACATGAATTTAAGACCTTGCATATGCGATATCTTCATAACCAACAGTCCAACAGAATCTCCAAACTTAACAACTGAGAAGATGTCAGCAAGCTAGAAAAAAAGACATTTAGAAGTTCACTTTGTAAACTTATATCAACATACTTTGTACCATCCAGAAAAAGGTTTAACAAGAGTGTCACTACCCATCTCAGTCGTACTCATGTAAAAAAAAAATTGAATTTTTTTATACTTCCATCAATATTAGTACATAAAAAATGTACATCTTGAATCCAGTCAGCAATTAATAGAAATGAAAAAAAAAATTCAGAACCAGTTTTTTTCAAAGCATTTCTAAGTTCAAATCTAATTAAGTCTTTTTATCAAAACTTGGTAAAAGAGTGGTATTTTAAAAAAGACAAAATAAGAATACACATACCGTATTTAGTCTTATTTATGAAGGACAATCTGTCATAGCCCTGGTTGAGTCCACGACAGACTTCTTTCCAGCCTTGGGAAGTACACACTCGGCTTTTATAATCTTCATGAAGCTTGTTCCACAGAGGTGGTCTCCCTTTCACTAATGATATTAGCAGTCCCGCATCGATATCGGCAGCCATATTGTCTCTACGGGAAAATGCAAAAATTAAAAGGAACCTCGGGAAATCGTCTCGCGTCATGTGAAGTTCAACTTTAAAATTCTACTCCAGTGATTCAACAGTTACATCAGGCCTGCATGTTAGTAGTGACAACAGCCACACCATTAGTTCCTGGGTCAAAAATAATAACTGACTTACTGCCTGAATGGTGGCGTGGTTGGGTACAAGGGACAGTGGTGGGGGGAGGTAGGAGAAGAAGTTAAGAACAGTTTTGAACAAGAAGAAATAAATGAAAACTGAAAATGAGGCTATACAGAGAAGCAGAATGACCAAGGGCGAGGACACATGCAATAATGGGTCCAGGTACCTAGTGAAGCAATGGATTACAGAAAAAAACAACAACCCCGTAACTTAAGATTTCACTCTGTAGGGGAAAGGGGGGTAAACTAAATCAAACTAAGCAAGTTATCTTTGACAGGTGAATTTACACTTATGTCATGTCGGGTTTCATAAAATGACTCAATTTAAGAGTTTTGGGGACAAAAATATCAATCTGCAAAAAGACCACAGTGATATCTGTTGGTGGACAAAACAGTTATATATGTGTGCGTGTGTATATATAATATATTGGGTAACATACCAGTAAATCTCTTCACATAAAGGTAAAAGAACTAGAAATATAGAAATACAGCATTTTTTAAAACATGCAGAAGAAAGCACTTTGAATTTTTCTGAAAAGCAAGTTTACTCTACAGTGGAATCCTGTTATAACGAGAGGGAGGGGACTGGAGCGACATGTCCGTTATAGCAGGATTCTCATTATAAGGGATCCAGTGATAAATTCAATGGAAATAATAAAGTATAAAGTAGGCCTAATCTATAAGTTTGGTGTTCTGTTTATTTTTTTGTGCTATCGCCCCCTGAAGATGATTTTGTTTCCATATGATCTCTAGGTCATACTTGATCAAAAATCGAATCAGGTTTCTTTCTCTATCTAGCGCTTGCATTATTGACAGCTCAGCGTTGGCGATTAGAAAGATAGGTCTCAAGGCTAACTCGCCCGCTGTGTTGTTCTCCAACACACCACACCTTGTCGAGCGTTCCATCTGCTTGCGCGCGTCACACATTCGCTCCACCCATCAAATCACTATGACCTCTCCATCCCTGCATTGGAAAAGTGAGAGGCATGGTAGGCCTAGATAAGCTAGACTAAGTTGGCCTATCATGCAATTCCTTCTGCTTGTCTGCGCAGGCCACACACTCCCTACTCATTCGCTCCGGCCTTCATTGTAAACACACGTGGACTCTCCCATTCTTTGTTTCGCAAGTTCACGAACAAGTTTCCCAAATTACGAGGTTTTACATTATGTATAATTGGCCTATGCGCTGCGCACAGCAGCAGCAATATTCCACAATAACTGACTTGCGAGTTGTCTGATTGCGCTATAGCAGTATTTTATTGACAAAGATAAAGATGGGGGAAAAATGGGGTTTCAGAATAGTGTCTTTATAACAGACTGCTCATTATTTTCATTATAAGTGGACTCCACTGTATTATATCCCAGAATTTTTAAACAGTAAAGCACCACCATCTTTAAAAGAATTGTTGATCCCCAAACCATCAACACAACGGGAGCCATCAAATAACACCACTAAATAAAGGTTACCCAGGTTGAAATCCAAGTCATTTAGTGAAAGATCTTTTGCATTTGCTGGCCCTAAAACCAGGAACATCCTCCCACAAAAATTGAGAGAAATAGAAACTACTGAGAATTTACAAAACCCATTTTAAAACACACTTGACAATGACAATGACAATCTTTATTCATCTCGCAGGGAGAAATTTGTCTTGATCGTTTACAAAGGCACTAGACGTTCACTGTGTGCTCAGTAGGTACAAAAGAATTTCTATTTGTCTGTTCTTGCTCTTTTGGAAATGTATCGTTTACTACGGGGTCGATAATTAAAATTCCGATGTCAGTGGGAGGCTATGGTCACTTAGCATTATTTCTGCCTTTTTTAAAATGTTTGTTTTGTGCAGATATTCAAAGTTACTTAGGTTAGGTCTCTACCAATTGTTCCTGATGCCCTTCTGATCGACTTGTGGTTTACATAAATTTTGTCATGTTAAATTTGTTGTCGATTGTAAGACCAAGATATCTGTATGAATCCGTTATTTCAATTGTTTCTTGTTCAATTACGAGTGGTGTGATTGTTGCTTTCTCCCTTCAAAAATCAAAAAAATAATTTCCTTTGTTTTTGAGAGGTTCACTTTTAGAAAATTTTAAAGGCATCATTTAAAAAACATACATATTTAATTTCTTCGAAATCTAATAACAGCGGAGTCATCTGCAAACTTAATCAATTAAGCGTGTTGCTTTATATTTACTTGAACTATGATCGCTGGTATATATTGTATACAAAACTGGAGACAAAACACACCCCTGAGGACCGCAGGTGTTACAAAGGATTGCATCAGATTTTGTGTTATTAAGCTTAACATATTGTGGTCAGCCTGTCAAGAATTCCAGGACACATGCTGCTATGTTATGGAAAAACAAACAAAAGGTACCCTCGTATACGTTTTAGCCGTTTCAAGGAGTTTCAGTATGGAGTCACAAAAACAAGTACAGCATGTTCTACGTTCCTCTCTTGTTTGTATGCAAACTGGAATGTATCTAAATTTTCATGAACACAACCTAGAATATTTGAAAGGATCAATTTTTCAAGGCACTTGAAAGCAATGGATGTAAGAGCAAGTGGTCTTAAATAATTTAATTCATATATTTTACGCTTTTTTGGCTTTCTTTAAGAACATGAACACTGTCAATCTTTTTTATTTCAAAAATGTATATTTTTTTACGTCCGTGTTCTTTCTACTTTTTGACTGACTAGCACTCAGACCTTTTTTTCATAATGGCATAGAGCCTTATGTAAACGTTGTTTACTAATAGTCATCCCTTTCTGCATGGGTTGGTCATTGTAGGCAGAGCTGAAACAGCTCAAATTCTTCAATCTTAATTTTGTGTTTATGGAAGAAATATAAAACATTTAATACCATTTCACCATTGCCATCTGGTAACTGATGCTGAATGAGTTGCAATCAAAGAAAATCAACAAAAGCGTACAAACTTATTGTTTTGAGCAAAACAAACAAAATACAACTTCACAGGGAAAAAATCAAAATGACGTCATGTTCATGGTTGGTATTGGTACTGAGTGAATTATAGAGGGAGAAACTAAAATACCAATATGCTAAACTTGAGAAAACTAACCTTGAGAAAGGTGAACAAAAGCTATGGTTTCCAGCTAGAAGCAGTCAAGTGTCAGGTGTCAAGTTCATCACTCAAAATTCACCATTGTCCTTCTTTCACACAGCCAACAACGTGGTTTTTATATTACCTGTGCTGAGGAAGAGATTTAATTGTTAAATTGCTTTAGTAAAATGCAGTCGAACCAGCTCTAACAGATACCAGTACAGGACAATCACTTGCACAAACACCCACTAGCTATTTCCTCCCCTGGATGTTTAAAAAAAAATGTGAGACTAAAAATTCGCGAAATTTCCGAGTCACTAAACATTTCAAAGTCAACTGTCCATAGGATAGTTTGATGAGCTGCACTATCGAAAGGTCTGTGCTCAATAGGTCCCAAGAGAGCGGACAGCTGACGACAAAACACAATGTGTTGAAGTATCTCAGACTTTCTTGAATCGTCGTAGCCAAGCCATCACGGGAGTCATGAACGCATCTGGAGACCTCCAACAATACGATGGAGGATTCCTGAGAAGCATTATAAAAATAACAGGTGATGAGATTTGGATACACCACATGACCCCTGAGATGAAGAAAGATTCAATGGTTCACCTCCCCACAAAAAGTTTAAAGTTCAGCCATCGGTGAAGAAACTTGTGGCCACGGTTTTCTGTGATGCTAAGGGTGTTCTGCTTCTTTACATTCTGGAACCAGGACAAACTGTTATAATGTTAACAGATACTGCCAGTTCTTGATAAGTTGAGAGAGGTTGTGCACCGAAAAAGACCAGGCCAGTTGTCCGGCGGGGTCATTTTGCAGCATGACAACGCAACGCCACACACCGCAAACGCTACGAAAGACTGGATCCAAAGGTTCGGCTGGGAAGTTCTGCCACTCCCCCCTCACAGTCCTGACTTGGCCCTGTCAGATTATCACCTTTTTGGACCAATGAAACGCCATATTTCTGGACAGCGATTCACCGACGACGAAGACCTTGTGGAAGCCATGAAAGATTGATGAAAAATTCTTCATGGAGGGTAATTTCTCCCTGATCCAGCGATGGCAAAAAAGCGTCCTGTGAGATGGTGATTACATTGAGAAATAATTGAGGTAGGCCTATGATGTGTTAACTTTTATTATGGCCGCGGCTATTCGGACTCAAACTCCAATGCGCGTGCACAATCACGAGGTGTACCGGATGTGAAGCAAAGCAATTCGACCTTGGCCTTCCTCGGTTTCTACGATCTTGCCAAGGAACTTACAACAAATAGGAGTGCCGACCGTGGTGACCCAGTGCGAACTGTGGTCTTTTCTTTACAAAGGAATATTGAGTAGGGCCGGGCAGTGGCCTACGGTATGGGTGGGAATAGCTAGAATCTATACGCTGGTGGGGTGGGCGTGGGGAAGTAAGATGGAGAGAGAAAAAGTAAGAGAAAGAAAGAGAGGAAGAGAAAGGGAGGGAGAGAAAGAGAGAGAGAGAGAGAGAGAGAGAGAGAGAGAGAGAGAGAGAGAGAGAGAGGGAGAGGGAGAGAGAGGGCCTGGAGAGAAAGGGGAGGGTGGGGGCTGTCTTACAAGTGGACTGACTTGAATTTTATTTGACCTTTGTAGTCGTGAAACGCAGTGTAATAGCCTACCAGTAGTTTAAAGTCTGACTATTCGGACTCCAGTATAGACCTCGCTTACGGTAGAACCGGTGATTGCCCACGCGCACTGGAATTTGAGTCCGAATAGCCTCATTTTATTATAACGAAGTGACTATTTCTACGAATGTTCGGGAAAATGAAGTTCAACTCTATTTCTCCGAACAGTTTCTGATCTCGAGATTTTTTTTTTATTTGCAAGATTTAGGCGTCATCCTTTTATTCTGCCATTCTACGAGGACAGGGAAGAAGCTTTTTTAGCATCGAATTCAATTTCTAGAGCTAGAGATGTCTGAATATTCAGGTTGGGGCAACGTTCCCGGACTATACTTCTCCAAAAGGTGCTGCAAGAAAACAAGACTGCTTAACCTTGGCAGTAACCTATTTTGCATTTAGTCACCCAGCAAAAACTAAAATCCTTCGTTAAAAAAATCCCCTCCATGTATGTATGTATGTATGTAACGTTATTCGGACTCTGATTCTTGTCCAGCATGACATCACTTCCGACTTCCTGTGACTCGTGACTCCGGCTTCCTGTCCTGCCTCACTCGTGACTCGCCTCAGGCTGGGTAGAGACCGGGATCACTTCCCGCAAAATGGCGTTTTGAGCAGGAGCCGAGTTTTTATCTTATGATGAATTTGAGGCTGGCCTGAAAAGTTATAGCGTTTCTAATAAATGTTTATTTGGCAAGAGGTTTTCAGAAGCAATTAAAGATGGCTCGTTAGCGTGTGTCGGGGTCGGATGGGCGGCCGGCACACGTGTGGCTGTGTGCGTGTCTGGGGTGGGGGGGGGGTGGGGGGGTGGGGGGGGCACTATCGGTCCGGGCGTTGAACGTCGCATATGAGTCAGTCTTTTTCCCCCCGGCAACTGATCATTATTACAATAATAAGCTAGTCTTGACGTAGATGTACGTAATGAATTGTGCGCTGGTCTATGGAATCAAAAGTTGCCGTATGCTCAGCTCTACAGAGCAACACAACTTTTTCTTGGTAAACAATCGAGATGACACAGGTTTGTGTATTTGAACGTCTTTTTTTTTTACACAGCTCATGATATGCAGGTGCCAGGTGGTCTGCTAATCTTCAATTTTACCTTTTTCTACAACAAAGAAAGTGGGAAACATGGGGGGTGGGGGGGGGGGGGGGCATATCAATGAGGCGGCGGGCATCGGATCGGCAGAAAAGGTGTGGGGGAAACTAAAAAATGGCGGAAAATTGGAAGCACTGAACGTTAGATCTATAGAACGAAGACACTTCCTTTTTTCCGGACCCGAGTCCGAATAACATTTTTTTCTACGAAGTGTATACAGACCCGGTAACCGGGAACTAAGTCACGAAGTATACGGACCCAGTAGGGGAACTCTTTTGTGATTTTGGAAAGTTTCAGCGCCCAGACCTGCCGGTAGTGTGTGTATGTGTGTGTGTGTGTGTGTGTGTGTGTGTGTGTGTGTGTGTGTGTGTGTGTGTGTGTGTGTGTGTGTGTGCGTGTGTGTGTGTGAGCAGGGGGAAGTGCTATCCTAGCAAAATGTATGACATACACAAGTTGGCAGGAGGGAACGAGAGAAAGATAGAGTGGGAAATAGGTGGGGAGAAAGAAAGACAGAGACAAACAAAGAAAAAAAAGAATGCGAGCGATACACGGAGTGAGAGGGAGAGAGAGAGAGAGAGAGAGAGAGAGAGAGAGAGAGAGAGAGAGAGAGAGAGAGGGAGGGAGGGAGGGAAGGAGGGAGGGAGAGAGAGAGGGAGGGAGGGAGGGAGAGAGAGAGAGAGAGAGAGAGAGAGAGAGAGAGAGGATGACAGCTCGATTGAAATTATGACATTGTTCTTTTCTTCAAATTGTGATTCCTCCAACTCCAAAACAGAGGAAAAACGATCGTTCATCGGAAAGACATCCGCAATCTTCATTTAGATCTAGATTTAGATCTAGGCTAGCCTCGAAACTAGATCAATGATTTATGTCTGTCTGTCTAGATCTAGACCTATGCCATAGATCTAGAAGAACCTTGGTCTACCCTGAACCAAGAGGGCGCTGAAACTTTCCAAAATCACAAAAGAGTTCCCCTACCAGGTCTGTATACTTTGTGATTTTGTTCCCGGTTACCGGGTCTGTATACACTCGAGTCCGAATAAGAAATTTTTTTATTCGGACTCGAGTCCGAATAATGAAAAAATGTTATTCGGACTCGAGTCCTAATAAAGATGGCCTTTGTTTTATTTGACTTTTATCCCCCATTCGGGGATCAAAAAATCGAGCCACGATTGATTGGTCGCGGCCTCGACAAATGCAGAGATGCTAGTTCTATGTTATCAATAACCCTCCCATAGATCTAGATCAAGATCTAGACAGCACACGAGTGAACACAACACATTAAGTTTAAAAGAGCAGCACCCTTCATATAGGCAACACATCATATAACTGTAGCGAAAAACTGTTTGGAACTGTAGCATTTTTTTATTATTATAAATACATGTACGGACATTTTTTGGACCGATTTGTTAACAAACAATCTTTGGTAGGCCTATAATATAATTAATAGATCTATTTATATTACGAAGTGGCTAGCCGCCGTACTTAAAGTACGGCTAGACTGAGTCTAGCCGTACTTAGATCTAGGTTTGGCCCTATCGACTCAAGCCTGTTAAGTACACAGGTCTCTTTAGATCTAGATCTAGTAATTATTCAGGTCCAAATACATGCAAGTCAGTAAGGCACCTTTTGGTTTTGTCTGAAATACAAATACTTTAGGCATTGCAAGCAAAAAATTTCATTTACAATTCAGCCATCAATATTAAGTACGGCTAGACTGCCAGTCTATCCGTACTTATCTTAGGCCCTCTATTAACATTAAAAAACAGGAGGTTTAAAATACATTCACTGTCATTAAAGCACCTGGTTTCGTCTCAAATACAAATTCTTTAGGTACTGCTCACTAAAAATTTATATTTACAATTCAGTAGGCCTATTTTTTTTCGCAGTGGCTATTTTTACGGCATGCCGTAAAGATAGCCTTCCAGTGAGTCCCAGGCTATTTTTATGGCGATCCTCGAAAAGCGACCCTACTCCGCCTCTCATGTACGCGACATGCCTCAATGTATTAGATCTAGGCCTATAGGAGGGGCCGTTCAAAATATAAACTTACACCTCAGAGGGGAAAGGGTGTCTTTGGCTTCTGTAAGAAAAGTGTAAGATTGGTGGGTGGGGAGGTTTTTAACCAAATATGACACTTCTGTGAGATGAACGTTTTGCTCATGACTGAGAAGAAAAGGTAAAAGAAAAAGTGGATAAATGCCAATAACAAGACCCAGATCTGCATGATCACTGCAGATCCCCGTTGTTGGTTGGTTGTTTTTTTTAAAATTATGATGAAAATTCTGTAGGTGGATATCTAATTTCTTAATGTTTCTTTGTAACTTTGCAACTGTTTTGATGATCTTTTGTCTTGATTTCTTTTATTTGTAAGGCACATACCTATTGCATTGACAAGATTCTCAATGTCTTCCACATATATATATGCGTTCTTTCTAGTCCATATGGTTTGATTAAATTGTATTAACTGAAATGATTTTTGTTGTTGTTACAAGCTGGTTAAAAAAAGCCATGGATAGATCTAGTACAGGTATCTTTAAAATAATAATGGAAGTTGAAGATCGGAAAAAGTACCAAATATTAAATTGGTGTAGGTGGGGATTGGAGGCAAATGTGAGAAAAGTGGTATTTTTGGGTTTTTTGTTTTAAAAAAGTCCCCAAAAGTGTAAGATTATATTTGAACAGCCCCATAGGTTTTCCATTTCCTCCTCTTCACCATCATTCTATTCTCTTCTTCATCTTCCTTCTCCCTTCCTCCACCACCACCTCTTCCTTCTTCTCCCCACCATCATCATGATCTCTCTTTATCATCACCACCCCCATCACCTCCTCGTCATTATCATTACCATCATCACTGCCACTGCCAGCATCATCATCTCATTCACCGACATCACAACATGTACCACACCCACAAGAAGAGCGGCCATTTTGGAGTTAACACTTTTCGCCTTGGGAATGCCTTTAAAATGTTCCTCCTTCCTTTGCACTGAGCAGATTTTTGATAGAGGTGTAAAATTATTTTTGTGTGTGTTCACAATGATTAATTTATTAACGAAGTGGCTAACCGTACTTAAGTACGGCTAGACTGAGAGTCTAGCTGTACTTAAGTACGGCTAGACTGCCAGTCTAGCCGTACTTAGATCTAGGTTTGGCCCAATCGACTCAAGCCTGTTAAGTACACAGGTCTCATTAGATCTAGATCTAGTAATTATTCAGGTCCAAATACATGCAAGTCAGTAAGGCACCTTTTGGTTTTGACTGAAATACAAATACTTTGGGCATTGCAAACTAAAAAATTCATTTACAATTCAGCCATCAATATTAAGTACGGCTAGCCTGACAGTCTAGCCGTCCTTAAGTACGGCTAGCCTGGCTGTCTACCCGTACTTAAGTACGGCTAGACAAGAAGTCTAGCCGTACAAGACTTATCTTAGGCCCTATTAACATTAGAAAACAGGAGGTTTAAAATACATGCACTGTCATTAAGGCACATGGTTTTGTCTCAAATACAAATACTTTAGGTACTGCACACTAAAAATGTATATTTACAATTCAGTAGGCCTATTTTTTGTAAATGGTCAGTCTAGCCATCATATTAAGAATAAGTACTGCTAGACTGTGAGTCTAGCCGTACTTAAAAAGTACGGCTAGACTGCCAGTCTAGCCGTCATTAAGTACGGCTAGCCTCTTCCATTTATTAATTATTGTGATGCAATTTCAGGGTACGGGAACACATTTAAACATATATATTTTTTTTACACTCAAATATCAAAATTTTGCTCAGTACGATTGACCATAGTATCAGTATCTACCATTCCACCAATGTCCATGCAATTTTGTTAGAGAGTAAGAAGCTTTCGATTTTTTAAAATTATTGTTTCATTGTTTTGCATGTTGATGCTGTTTCCATTCCGTGGCAACTTTCATATTTTTCGACTTATCAAAATTTACTTTCTTCATTATTTCTTATGCCCGAATAATTTTTTTTCCTAAATTTATATGAATCGGAAAAAGAATCACCCTTGGGGTGAGCTGTTCCCCGTAAAAATGGACAGTAATAATATGAGAGGGAGGGAGGGAGGGAGGGAGAGAGAGAGGGAGAGAGAGAGAGAGAGAGAGAGAGAGAGAGAGGGGGGGGGGGAGGGAGGGAGGGATGGAGACTCTTTTCCCCGTACTATTGAGAAGTACATTTTTGCTGTACTAGGAATACGGGGATCTGCAGTGATCATGCAGATCTGTGTCTTTTATTGTTACTGGCATTTATCCACTTTTTCTTTTACCTTTTTTTCACAGTCATGAGCAAAACGTTCATCTCACAGAAGTGTCATATTTGGTTAACCTCCCCACCCACCAATCTTACACTTTTCTTACAGAAGTCAAAGACACCCTTTCCCATCTGAGGTGTAAGTTTATATTTTGAACGGCCCCTCCTATAGGCCTAGATCTAATACATTGAGGCATGTCGCGTACATGAGAGGCGGAGTAGGGTCGCTTTTCGAGGATTGCCGTAAAAATAGCCTGGGACTCACTGGGAGGCTATCTTTATGGCACGCCGTAAAAATAGCCTGGGAGGCTATCTTTACGGCTCGCCGTAAAAATAGCCACTGCGATTTTTTTTTTAATGGTCAGTCTAGCCATCATAAATATTAAGAATAAGTACGGCTAGACTGCCAGTCTAGTCGTACTTTTATTAAGTACGGCTAGCCTCTTCCGGAAAATTATCCAAAATTTGCGGGAAAGGATGTGATTTCAGAGTGTTCAGAGAAATAGTGCCCAGCTTTATTTTCCCGAACGTTCGGAGAAATAGTGCCGGCCAAATTAAAATCTAGAATCTAGGTAAGATTGAAGAATACCGGACCAGCGGACTGACTTTGCCTCTATACTAGATTTCTATATGTCTCAACCTTTGGAATTCATGATTTTCCTCTGTTTTTATCTCTCAATGGAGAATCTCGGACCGGTAGATCTAATCATTAAATCATTCAGGGTAAGATTGAAGAATACCGGACCAGCGGACTGACGGGAACATTGAAGAATACCGGACTACTCGTGTACATTATTGCGCGAGAATGTGGGGTGGGTGCGGCGGGTGAAGGAGGGGGTGGGGGGGTTCAGAGGATCTCCCCCCTGACAAATTATTAATGAATAGATCTACAGGTCCGAGATTCTCCATTGAGAGATATTAAAAACTGGGGAAAATCATGAATTCCTAAGGTTGAGACATAGATCTAAATCTAGGCAAAGTCAGTCCGGGAAGATTGAAGAATACCGGACCACTCGTACATTATTGCGTGAGAAAGTGGGGCGGGTGGATGGGGCGGAGGCGGAGGAGGGGGGAGGGGGGGTTCAGGGGGGTCTCCCCCCTGACGAAATATTAATGAATAGATCTACCGGTTCAATATTCTCCATTGAGAGATATTAAAAACGGGGAAATTATGAATTCCTAAGGTTGAGACATCTAGGCAAAGTCAGTCGGCTGGTCCGGTATTCTTCAATCTTACCTCTCTAGCCTTATTAGCATAGCGTCGTCTCTTTAGAAGAACTTCAGTTAGACTGACTGGAATCTAGAGACAGAGTCAAGGCCTATTCATTAAGTAGAACTCATCAACAAACACAGATCTTTGATCAGACTAGATTTCTACCTTGTTTTTTTCGTGGAATGATTTTTTTCAAAGCGCGGTTTTTCAGACAAGCAGGCTCCTGGTGCCTCCACAGAACACTCAACTTTGGCTTGCGGGCTGGTCTTAGTGGTCTATCCGAAACCCCGGAAGATGAGTTAGAAGGCCTAGTCTTGACCGACTGACTGCTCGAGCTGCTAGGCCACTTCATCGCGCTCTTTCGATAATTCGCAGGGAAAACCAATGATTATAAATACTATGATAAAGCAATGCGGCGAAAAGCGTGCGAGCTCACGAAACTCCCGGGGGGAATGTCTGCGCGTCAGCCGACAGTCAACCGCTGACCTGCTCCCTTATCAGCGCGCACCTGGTGCGGGAAGTGCGGCTCGTTGTTCCATTGTTAGAGGCCATTAAAAGTTTGAAATATGTTGGTTTGAAGGTGAAGGTTTGCGTGTGACCAAGGCCCATACAACCAGACGGTTTTAGAACACTAATCTAAGTCTCACCCCTGAAAAGCCTTTTTTTTTCATCATGAGGGTGATAAAATCACAGTCCTCTTTGATCCTCCACACTTAATTAAGAATTAGAAACAATTTGTTTACCTACCACAATTTCTAGGGCCCACTCATCAAGATGATATTGCAAGCTGGGCAGTTATTCAAAATTTCTATGAAAAAAAAACAGTGCCTTAAGTTTATTCAGGGTTGCACCCAAGTTAACCAACTGTGTGTCAAGTTTTGGACGACAAATGGTTTGTTTTGCTGTGCACGTACTTTTTATTAGTGGCAGTGTATCAAAAGCAATTCAATTTGGGACACTATATGTAACTCTGAATTAATCCTTTGTCTGACATCGATATATCTGATTTCTGTAATGACTTTGATGATCTTTTCAACGTTTTCATTTGGTCACTTGTGTCATTCTCTGTCGAATATCGTAACCAAGTCAAAACTACCACAGCACCATGAATTTTTGCAGCTGACACTTCTGTGGTTGAAAGATAATTCTTGAAGTTTGGCCCAGAATTTTAAGACAAAAAGAAAGTTGCAAAAGCATTAATATGAGTCAGTGAGTGGATCCACATCACTGCTTTGCAAGGTCTTGTGGCAGACATTGTGAGCTGCAAAGGGGGATTACTTACAGTGATATCAAGATGAACTTGAACATCTGTTCTCAGTCACCATGAGAGGAAAAGGTGGACTCATCTTGACAATTCAGACCCTCCCCTCCCCCCCACGACAGTTACATTTTCGTTTGAAGAAACAGATAATGGCCGACAAAACTATGATCGCAACGCCTTCAAGCAGTTGCAGGGATGTAGTGGATAGCTTTTTCATTAATCAAAATCTAACGAGTAAGAATTTCAGTCAAACAATAGTTGCAGTTCCGGGAAACCTAGATACATTGTTAATTTTGTTAAATTTTGCAATACATTAAAGATGCAATACACTTAAAAATGAGATTTCTGACGTAAGTGGATACACTTTGAAGAAACTTAACGATGTAGTCTGCAAGTAGGCTACTGTACAGAGATATTGGAAGATCCACCATCTTCCCATGCAAAGCACCTTACCCTCATCAGCCAGAAACACTTTGAACATTGTCGTCACGGTGGCTTGAAAAAGCCCGTTTTAAACTTATGGAATTTGTTGGTTTGTTTGAGGCTGCTTTTAAAAAAACCGCATTTTTAACCTTTGATGAGTGACAGAGCGCACAGTAGACATAATCTAAAGCTGAAAATGCCCCAGGAACCAAACGTAATTGAAAACAAAGGTGATTCCTGCAAATGCAACACAGTGGACTATGAGTCAGTGTATTTATGAACGTCAGACTGCACGATGATCTTTACTGTGCTGTCAAAAATTCGTGGCGCAACTTGTCCTCAAACATCTCTTTAATGGGTGAATCAATTTAACCTAAACTTTGCACAGCAGTGTGTATCAATTTATCTTAACGTATTCATATTTTTCCACAACAATTGAGGCTAGATTTAAAAACGTGTCTTCATGAATTTATATAATATACTAAAATGGGGCCAACTGGTCATCCCACAGCTCGTGTTATAGTACCACTGCGTGTGTTGTGTGAGCTCATTAATGCGCAGAGCGACGCGCGCAGTCGCTGACCTCGATTCTCCGACGATGCACTAAGGCCGAAGAAGGATTGCACCGTCTCGGTATTTACGGTCTCTGGGGAAAACTGTCCTTTAGTGTGGCTAGGCCAAGGACATTAAAAGTAAGGGAGGATGCTCTGTGGGTGGCGCCCGAGGATACCGGAACTAAAGCGCACGCCTGAGAGGAGCACTCTCTCGCAGCGGAACCGTGGGCTACCTGCGCTGCGCGATTGCCCGACTAAGGCACTGAAATCTAGATAAGAAAGAAGGTTT